TGGGGAGTTTAGGGTATATAGGGCGTGTATAAGGCTTCCATAAGGTATGTAGACCTTCTAGAAGGCTCCTATAACGGAAACTACCCACCTGAAAATGTTTTAGCCTTGGAGATGTTTGCTTTAGGGTTCAGGGTTTTGGGTTTAGGGTTAGGGTTTAGGGGTTTGGGGGTTTAGGGTTTAGGGTTCAGGGCTTCGGGTTTAGGGTTTACGGGTAGGGTTTAGGGTTTAGGGTTTAGGGTTTGGGGTTAGGCATCAGGGTTTAGGGTTCGGGTTTAGGGTTTAGGTTTGTTTGCTTCACGGTTTATACGGTCCTCTCAGGGTTACAAGGGGTCAAAGAAGCATCGAGAGCTTTTGGGCTTGGAGGTTTCAGGGTTTTACAGGTTTCGTGTTGTTTCCAGGATGTTTGTGGTTTGAGGGTTTAGGGTTTTGCCGTTTTGTTAGAGGCTCAGAGTTGTGATACTGTTGATGTATAGGAGTTATGGTATGTTCCATCATAAATTATGGGTAATGCAGGATTTGTTTCACCAACCTCAAACCCTAAACCCTCAGACCTTAAACCCTAAACAGTAAACCTTAAACCCTAACCCCTAAACCCCTAAACCCGAAACCCTAAACCCCTATACCCCTAAACCCTAGACCCTAGACCTTAAGAAGCTCCAGGTCTTGCAGGGTTGATATCATTAGCTCTAGGGTTTTAGGGGTTTAGTGTTTTAGGTTTTTAGGGCTCTAGGGGTGTAGGGGTTTAGGGTTTTAGGGGTTTCGGGTTTTAGGGTTTTAGGGCTTTAGGGTTTTATGGGTGTAGGGGTTTAGGGTTTTTAGGGGTTTCGGGTTTTAGGGTTTTAGGGCTTTAGGGTTTTATGGGTGTAGGGGTTTAGGGCTTTAGGTCTTTAGAGCTCTAGGGGTTTAGGGCGTTAGGGCTTTAGGGCTTTAGGATTTTAGGGCTTTAGGGCTTAAGGCTCTAGGGGTGCAGGGGTTTAGGGTTTTAGGGGTTTCGGGCTTTAGGGGTTTAGGGTAGGGTTAACCCTAAACCCTAAACCCTAAACCCTAAACCCTAAACCCAGGGTTAGGCCTTGCATAGAGTTGAAACTCCGAAGCTGCAGGCCGAAGTCCCTGCAGAGCCCTAAAGCCCTACATTGCCCTAAGGGCAGGGGCCTCTAACTAGAATATTATTTTATTTGTTTTATTATATTTTTTTTTGGGGGGGGGTCCTTATCATGATTATAGTATCATACAGTATACTTCCAAATTCTTTTCTAGCTATTAAGGCCAATATATTATACCGCCACAGGCCGCACTACAAAAGCAACCGCAATCTCATTCCGAACCCTAAACCCTAAACCCTAAACCCCTAAAAGTGTTTGCAAGTGTAGACAGCAGGATATCCTTGGGTGTCACGGGTTCCATGGTAGCAGTGTGCATTTATTAAATGTACCTGTGACCCCAAACCCTACAAAATGGTAGGTTATGACCTCTTAAATTAAAGGGTAGAACCGTGACCCTAAACCCTAAACCCTAAACCCTACCTCGGTTTTTGGATCCTCAGGTAGGCTCTAAACCCCAAGCCCTGCAACCTGAACTCCACACCGATTTCTTGCGCGGGCTCATGACTTCAGGCCTTCAAGATTTGGGACTTTCCGAAAATAAGTGGTACCTTATTTTGGGGTCCTTTTCATAAGGATCCTACTAGTTAGGGTACAATATGCGGGTCCCCCATTTTCGGAAACCCCCATTTAGGATTGTGTGGGCTTCAAGGGTTTGTTTTTTTTCCAAAGCCTCTTTCCAAGTCAGGCTCCGGGATGTGGGTGTGGCGGCTTTAGGGGCTTGAAGTGAAGGACGGTCATGGCCGATGCTTATCTCAGCACTCGAAACACCCCTAGGCCTACACCCTCAACCGCACCTTATAGCCTCCACACAAACCTTTACAGGCCCTGAAGTGACCCTGAAACCCTAGACCTCAAAGGAATCTTCTGTAATATTTAATAGAATATTTTCTATATATCTTATATATATATATAGATGTTATTATTATTAGTATTATTATTATCAGATTATCTGTATCATTATATAGAAGATTTCTTAAAGCAACCCCCAGCCGCTCCCTTCGCCAGATTCATGGCGCTGATGCGCATTCTGCCCGAGCTGCAGGAGCGGTATTGTCTACGGGTCCATGTAGCCTTTAAAGGGTTTAGGGTTTAGGGTTTAGGGTTTAGGGTTTGGGGGCCTCTAGGGCAGCCCTGAAGGAGCCCTTCAGGAACCCCGCTTAAAAGGACCTTAACAGGAACCCCTGAGAGGCCTTGATTCAGGGCTTTCTGTTGAAGGGTTCCTTTGGAGGGGTTTGGTAGGGTTCAGGGTTCCATTCGCGCTTCTTTTTAGGGTTCTATATAAGAGCAGCCATAAAGTTGGAACATCGTAGTCCTCAATCCCTTAAAGCAAAGTATAAGGGATCCTAGCACAAATCATCCTAAATCCATGTTCCAACTTTCTGGGGTTCACTATAATCAGAAGCGCAAACGTACTTATAGGATTCTAAAAGAGATTAAGGGGGCAAGTGCCTAACCAGTTGGGTTTCAGGCATCAAATACTTACTCTGAAAGGTTTGGGCACCTCAAACTCTACAATTGTATCGGAGCGTCTGAGCTCAGAAAGCCGAAGCCTGAATCTTAAAAGATGTGGGTGGGATAAGTTGCAAGAATGTCGCCTTATAGCCCTTAACGTACTTCTACTATAATGATCGTCCTTCACGTACTTATACTGACTTATACTATAGTATCCCTCAAACCCCTACTCTACATAAACCCTAAACCCTAAACCCTCTATATATTACAGGGCCCTATATTGCCTTATGTAACCCTAAACCCTAAACCCTAAACCCCTAAACCCTAAAGCCCTGAAAGTGCAGGCTTCGGGCTGTCGGCTCGACGGTTCAGCGTCTGTGCGTGTTGGGGGCTTTAGGGACGTTAGGGTTTAGGGTTTAGGGGCTTTAGGGTTTAGGGTCTTGGGCACATTTACCCCAAGGCTCCATGTACCTTAGTAGTAGTTACTTAAGCCTTAAAGGAGTCCACATACAGGTACTTTAGGGCTTAAGTATAAAGGTACATGGAGCCTTTGGGTTAGGGCTCAAGGTTTGGGGCGTTGGGGTGTGATCCGAAACCAGGTGGTCTTGATCGACGTGGAGCAGGCCTGCACCCTTAGGGGCAGGCTTCAGTCGGTTTAGGGTTAAATCGTGGGGGTTTAGGGTTTAGGGTTTAGGGTAAATCCTAAACCAGAGTTTGACTTTAAGCCCTAAGCCCTAAACCTGACTGTACTTGGAAGAGTAGGTGAGGTTATGACTACCTCAGTTGGGGTTATAAGTGCTTATAAGTGTGGTCATCTCACATCACCCTAGCTGCTAAGTGCCACGCTCCATCAACCCTAACTGCTAAGTTCCATGGTCCTTTAAAAGAGGCTTTAAAATAGGCTTGCTTCCCCAACACTTTGAGCTTTGGGCAGTTTAGGGGCGTATGGAACATTCACTAGAAGAATGAGGAATTCTGAGGAATAATGTTAGTAAGTATACTGGTCTACTCTTTGTATTTTGAGGTTTCGTAAAGGGGAACATTTGTGGCACAAGGGTATATACCCTGCATTACGGGATGATTGGGGAACCTACTATGCCATTTGTTGAGCTTGGTCAGCGGGTAGACCCTAAACCCTTAACGAACTGTAAAGGGCTGCTCATACAAGAGCTGTGTGGCTGAAGGTTGACGACTGCGCTCAGTAGCACCCTACACAATCTACTCAAGAACTAGTAGGATACATGTTCAGGCCCTTTGTAGACATCTTTGCGCTGCTCTGTGAAGAGCTCCTGCTACAATATACCCTAAAACCCAAACCCCCAAAACCGAAACCCTAAACCACCAGCCCGTGCCCCTGAAGCCACTCCGGAGCAGCACACCCTACAGGCGCTCTCCAGTGTGACCATGGAGACCATCATCTGGAAGCTCCACGTCCACTGCCAGAACCCGGACTGTGAAGGGTCGCGCCTCTTTTTGAGGCGCATTCCAGAGGTGCCAGCATGCACCAAGTGCGGCCTCCCATGGCTCCAGTCCCTTCGCCAAGGGGGGTGTCAGTGGTTCGAGCAGTAACCACTGCCCCGCACAGTTCGCGCCCAGCAGCCACGTGCATACCGGAGATCAAATGGTATCACTCCAAGGACGGCTCACATCGCCCTGTTTACAAGATGCACACCGGAAAGGTGTCTTGCGCCATGCGCTGCGAGGACCCCCACTGCCGTAATGACTTTAAGCCCCCCTCAAGACTCCAAAGGAGTCGGATGTGCACGTGAGCCGCAAGTGCTCCAAAGTGCAACGCATAGCCCAGCCACCGACTATATATTATGAACAAGCTAAGCCAGCTAAGCTTAGCGTCGCACCTTTTATGGACAATTTCAAAGGAACCCTAAACCCTAGACCTTATAGATTACCTATTTAAAGGTACCCTAAACCCTAAACCTTATACGTTCCATTGTAAAGGAACCCTGAACCCTTAACCCTAAACCTTAAAGATTCCCTATTTAAAGGAACCTTAAACCCTAAACCTTTTCAACCCTTTCAATGAGCGTGAAAGCCTCGGCCGCAGCGTAGACCTCCACTGTCCGTGTCTATCATGGCACTATCATGTCTGTGCACTGGTGAGGAACAGCGATGTTACGCCATCCCCTGTTCTGACCACATACCGTTCCATTTGGAAGGATGCGGCTCAAAAACGCCTCTACGATTTCAAACCGAGTCTGTGACCACCGTGCGGGAATGCACGACAACTTGACTTGAAGAGCTGTGCTGCTAGGACGTCTCTCGTTAACCGTCCAGACCCCTCCAGTTTGCAAGATCAACCTTCGAAGCACCTGCCCGAACCACCTGGTTCGCTGTCCCATATGATATGTCAACAACTGGCCGTACTGCATGAGCCCCGGGTCCAGCCACAGCTGTCCAGAGAAAACTGGCGGGGCAAAACCACAAGACATCGAATAATCCAGTAGAAGCTGCAGCAAGGATACCCATCTCGTTGGTGTGTGCAGAGGAACCGAATCGACGAAACAGTGTTTAAACCAGTGTTCAATGCGCCGAACGGCTTGAATACCATATCGGCGGCCCAGACGCCCTTCCGGATCAACTGCTTCTTGGCCAAACTGGACTGGTGGCGGCAACACTGCTCGCTGAGGTGGCGCCACTGGCATTGCTGGTGTCGGAGCCCGGGTGGAGTGGAAAGCAACTCGGCCATGGAGGGCCTGAACGGCCTGTGCGATCGAACACTCGGCCTCCAATGAACTGCGCACTGTATCCCAGAGCGCCCAGAAGTCCGGCGAACGGCCTCTATTGGTCGTCCCAGCTAGGCTGTCAACCCGCGAACTGTAATGCGCACACCACTCGTCGACGAAGGTAGCCTGAGCCTCGGACTCGCAATGGGCTTCTACCTTGATGATCTCTATACGGTCGCGGCAAGAGCTAACAACGGCAGCCAGGCGAGACCACAAGTCACTATTGCGAGTGCTAGGACCTGGAGACCAGTCGCCCTGGAGGAGCCGACCACAACGCCGAACAACACCCAAGCAATCTGACCAAATCCGGATTTTGGAACGAGAGATGGCTGCAAACTCTGCTGCAGAGATGACTGCGGTAAGCTCGGCTCTAAATGCGGATTGAATCAGCCCAGGAAGGTGGCCAGTGGCAAGCAGTGTACCCGGTGCACCCAGGCCTCCTGCGACAACGACGCCCCAAGCCGCAACCCGGAGATAGGACTCAGAAGGATAAAGGCAGGAGCCATCCGTGAACAGATCATACACAGCCTGGTGGGGTACATGCTCAAAGACCGACGTGGAGTCCGGAATACTTTGAAGAGCTTGAAGCAAAGCCAACCGACCTTGAGGCTGACGCGCCCAGCAGTGAAGCTTAAGCGCCGGAGGAAGCCGACGAATATCCTCAATGGACAAACGTTGAGTGACGCAATCCGGGGGCCGACGGCAAGTCGCAAAGTGTGGACAGTAAAGAATTCGATGTTCAATGCTGTCAGGTCCACCACAATATTTGCAGTCCGGACTTTCGCCTTCTCCAATATGATGAAGGGCATCGTTGGTAAAGAAGGTGCCATTTAGGGAAAGCTTCACCAAGGGACGATGGGCAACAGGAAGGCTCAACAAAACCCTTCGGGTAAGGAGAGGGTCAGCAGACTCCAAGCCATGAAACCCAGGACGATGAGAAAGATCCCACTTGATGGCGTTTTGCCAGGCCCACACCAAGCGGAACTCCAGTTCCTGAGGGGAGCAAGTCCACAGCCGCAGAGGACCAAAATCATCAACAAACGAATGCATGCCCGGGTCCCAACTGACACCGACTCCGTTTGCCCTTTCCAGAAGAACCTTAGCTGGCCCGGGGTGACGTGCCGCAGACTCAACTACCTGATCCAGCAACGGCTCAAGTTCCTGCTGCGAGTACAAGACGCGCGCATCCCGAAAGCTCGACACAAGAGCATAAAAACCAGGGTCGGCAGAAGGGTGCTCCACTAAGCCCAAGTGAAGCCGACCGTTGGCACCGGGCGCCTTTGCGCCAATGCCCTCCATTGCACCGGCTCGGAGCGAGACAACATGTTGCGACCCGACACTGACGATACTGATAGCATGCAGGGCTGCGGGCCACGCTGCCACACGAAGACAACGAAGCTTGTGCGTGTAAGGAGCGACCGAAGCTGCAAGACGTCGCCACTTCGGTTTAACGTCTTTGAAGCGAGCAACCTGCGTGGAGTTGGTATGCCTGCGAGATACCTGAAAGTGGGCGCCAAGCTCTTTGAAATCGAGTGCAACATGATTCCCAGTCGCACGGAACAAAGCGCGATCCCGAGGCTGTGTTGCCCAAAACTTGGTCTTGGCAGGGTCAAGCTGAAGATCCCAAGACTGTACGAAGGATTCTTGAGCAGCGGCGGCCTGCAGAACCTGAGAGGGATCACGAGCAAACGCCTCCCAATTGTCAACGAAAGACAAGACACGCAGCTCGGGCAGGTGCGCGGACATGTGGTCATGATAAGCAATGTTAACGAGAACCATCGCAACACACGACAACCCATCACCTTCGGGAAAACCAGTAGTGCTTGGTAAAGCCGGACCCAGAGACCCACGCACACGGAACCGACGCATGAAGCCGGAAAGAGCGCCCGTCCAAGCCCGAATGATGCCTGCGTGGACGCCACAGACAGCAGCGAAAGCCAGGACCGGTGTACGCGGCAGCAAGTTGTAAGCCTTGCTGAGATCAGCCGTGAACCCAGAAACAGGAGTGGCACTGTGGTAAGAAGACTCAACCAGCAGTTGTAAAGTATACCAGACTTCACGCGCTTCG